TTGTGTTTGTGTTTGTGTTTGTGTTTGTGTGTGTGTGTGTGTGTTTTTGTGTTTTTGTGTGTGTGTGTGTTTATGCATGAGCATGATATTTATACAATATAGCACGCATTTTCTGTGTGCGTTGCTGCCGCCCATGTTGGCGGCCTGTTTACGCTGTTTACACTTTTCTGCCCTTGCTGGGCAGGCATGTTCTCACTCCTGCAATCCTCAAGAAAGCTTCCAAGCCAATATGATTGTTTACCATCCAGGGGTCTGCGTCTTAACAATACCATGTTGCGGAGCCAATGAGATTTCAGTTCGACGGTCCAAAGACCCTGATTCTGCGCACATGAGGATACTTTACCGCTCCTGCTCACGGATGAAATGGTTCACTGCTTTCACCAATGTGGTTTTCCAAAACCCGCGCTCCCCACTTTATAATAATGGAGGGTCTCAAACATGCATGTTGGGATGGCCGACATCTTGCACCACCATAATTTGTAGCTGCCAACGACATTGAAAAGGGGCCTGCTGAGTGGCGAAATCGAGCCGGGAGAGGTGTCTGTCAACCATATGTATTCTGATATTAAACAACGCACTCATGCATGGTGTGGGGGTTCTCGCGTGTCCCTGTCAGAAGGTGTTGAGTGCATTTCTCTATGAATAGGGCATTGTGTGTGTGACCGTTTCCTCCTGGTTTCTGAGCAGAGAGGCAGACCGGCTTTGTCGGAGCTGCTTGGCGGCAAGCTACTTGAGGAGGACCGCAGTGATGCAGTGCTTTGGCTGCTGAAATTTTACATGCTTGTCAACAACATAATATGCTGAATGATGTACTGACGGGAGCATTTATTTTTATTGCCCTCCCTCCAGGATTCCCAAGGAGAAGTTGCAAAGAAGCTGTCTGACAGACAGGCGCGACGTTGCGCAACGGTGCTCAACTTTGTTGGATGACGTATCCTGCAGGTTGGTTTGGTGAAGGATCATTGGAGAGAGCTGATTCCTCAGCTTTTGCACTTCGCAGTGCGTACAGCAGATCTATGAGAGGTCACCAATGGACACCACTAGTTGAACCCTGGAATGTGTGGTTGACGGTGAGCTAGTGAGCTGTCAGGTCTGCCAACCGGAAAAACCAGGACAAGGGAGCAACACAATGTGCCCGTGACCTAGTTCCTGCGGTTGCACCAGAGCCGCGAGCTGGTCAAACGATGGTCAACCAACCAGGTTCTAGAGTGTTGCGTGTTGCTACCTGCTGTGATGGGGGGATGCAGACAACCTGTGACATGTTCGATAGATTCTTCTTTGAGGATCCCCATGCTTGCTGCAGCTGCTTCGCTCAGGCCACGCAGTGAGGGCTGCTTGCATGCACTGTATTTACCGAGCTCCTGTAGAAGTCGGGGATGTTGCACAAAGTTTGCCTGATGCGCACAACTTGTGAAATACGGGAGTTTTCTAAAATTTGGGAGCTTTTTTTCGATGGTTGTTGAAGGTCGCCTGTACCTGCTACACGGCAGTTCGATTCACGAAAGTAGCATCGCCAACGGAGCAATGAATTTGTAGAGCTGTGCCGTGCGGCATGGATGGTTTGAGCACGTGGTGTGCAGTTGCCTTCCCATGAAAGCAGTTGCCACTGGCAGTTGGGTTGGATATCAGCGGCCCGTTTTTTTCCCGTCCAGAGGCGTGCTTGCTTCCTGATCCAACGTTTGATCCTTTTCCCAAAGACAACGGCGACATGAGCGAGCGGAAGAACATCAGGAAGCGGCCAAGCCTGGTTACTGGACACAGTGGGCTGCTGCCGTAAAAGAATTGGCAACTCGCCCACACTGCCATGCTTGCACCTGCAAGTATAGACCAAGGCTGGGCAAGGAAAATGGAATGCTGAGAACTTAATTGGCATGCCACTCCCCGAGTTGTCAACCCCACCTCATGTCTTTTTGTTTGTCCGCCGCTGTACGCATATTCAAAGGGGCCTTGCCTCTGCTTGCTTTGCGAAAGCAGTCTGAGTTTCTCACACAGCCACTTCTCTTGCACCAGCATGCAAACCTCATATCCTAACCACGACTTTCCCAGCAAACACCTTTGTTCTGACGGTTCTCTACGAACAGACGGCAGGGTCTTTTCACATCTGAGCGATTCGGGCATGTGGTAGCTTCTATGACAGGCAGGGTTCGGTTCCTCAAGTTGGATATGGGACCCCGAATATGGGTGGTTTAAGTGGCTCCATGTGAGGCACGATCAGAAACAACGCACCAGGAGTTGGACACTGTTTCGTTGGAAAGGACTTTGCAAATCAGGGGAACCCTTGCTTGCAGCCATAGTTCTTGATTGTAAATCTATCGCTGTTCATGCTGCGAAAACACGCTGAGATGCATGGATGCGCAATTGCAGACAGAACCTTACATCCAGCTACGTGTTAACCGCCGGCATGCACCTGAAGCGTAGAAAAGGGGGGTTGGAGGAGGGGCCTATTTCATGTAAGGAGGCCCTTGTTATTGTTTTGGCACCACCTTGCGCCTTTGTTTTGTCAGCCAGATTCGAACTGCTTGGCCGAAGGCCAAAGGCCAAGAGAGTTCGAGAGCCAGTTTTGCCTCCTGCACAGGCCTGAATCCATTGGTTTTCCTGGATGTTGCAGTGGGCAGAAGAGCGGTCTTGCTCCGAGTGTGGATTCAGAACGAAAGTCAGCTCTGGCATCAACAGCTTGGAACTTGTGTTTGTCACAAGTTCACAAGTCATGGGATTGTCATGTGTGCCGAGCTCAAATCATCCATTTGATTGATCATTTGAGGTTGTTGAATCTGCTCATCAAGCAAAGTCTAACGAAGAGCTTCTAGTGACCTGCGCAAGGATGTTTTTGACCATGTCACATCTGTTTTGAGTCTAGCAATTGAACGGCATTTTCCGTGTTTTCACCACCGAGGTTGGACGCCTGAAGTTCGAGCTCTTCCACGACAAGCTGCCCATTACCTCGGAGAATTTCCGGTGCAGCGCCCCCAGTTACGCAGCCGCTCACGGTGGACAGACGAACTCCTACGGTTTGCGGGCTGCAGGCGGCACTTCCTGGATTCCGCTCCCTTTTTGTTGACGGAGCGAGTGGAAGGCAGTACAGGATTTCGGGCATTCGCTGTTTGAATGTTGGGGTCCCAAGCTTTGTATAAAAGGAGCGCGGGGCACGCACGTCCGTCAACCGTATTTTGTGGATCGCTCATTAATAAGGCTCAAGTAGGTTTATCGTGATCCACTATTCTGATGTATAACTTTACAACCACTCAGACCTAGGATGGTCTTCCCAGGAGGCCGTTGCAAACTGGAGACGACAACAACCCACTGAGGTTTGTGCACTGGTGAGACTGGCCTGGGGTACTGGCTTCGCCCCAGATGGTACGACAGGGAATGCAAGTGGCCAAGGGCGGGAATCATAAAAGAGTCAATCGGTTTTGAGACAGCTCTTTGATCAAGCAAAGCCACCCCCAACTGAATGCCACGCATGCCAACCGCAGGTACAGAGACACCAAATTTCTCCGAGTCGTGCCTGGCTTCATGTGCCAGGGCCCAAATGTCCTGTTTGCCGTGCTGCTTTGATTTGGCCTGTGCCAGAACTAGCCTCCAATCATTTTCATGTAAGGTCCCTCTTAAAATCACATGAACCAGAGAGGGGCTCCAACTTGTTTGCACCCATCAAGAGAAAACGGTGCGACTTGAAATCACATTTTCCGAATTTGCCCGACGGCGTTTCCAGTCACCGCTGCCGCAGGCCAGGGGGGCGACTTCAACTTTGGCTCTGGCCTCATGGGGGAGCCCGGCGCCCAGGGAGTGTCCAGGACGCCCAGGTTGCGATTGGCTTTAAGTCCTTTTTGGGACAGGGATGCATGGTGTGGATTCATGGCTGGTCTCAAAACATTTGAAAGGAATTGTTCCCAGAGACATGCAGACTTTGGGACTTGCTTTGAGTGACGCCGAGCTGCTCAAAGCCACTGATTTGTTTTGATGGTGCAGTTTCAAGGCACACTAGCTCCGACAGTCATGGAAGTGGCAATTTGTGCGTGACGTTTGGAATGCCTCCAGATAGTTGGTTTCCTAGTGTCATCCATGAGAAAAAGCTCCAGATGAGCGACGTTCTAAAACCCTGCATTTGAGGTCGTATTCATGAGGAAATATCATTTACAACATATCGCTTTGTCCTAGGCTTTGCGAAAGGGGTTTGTCATGTACACACTCGTGAAAGGGTGGCAAAAGGGCCTGTTTGCCTACGAATTTGTGTTTTCCAGCGTCCTCGAAGGCGAAACAAACTTCAATCCCATTTCTCAATCCGCAAAAGCGACGTGCCTCATCAGGGGCTTGGGATGACTGTCGTCAAGATTCCAGTTAGAGAGCATGTTGGGGGTCGAACAAAGGAGTGCAGATCATTGCTGTGTTGACGAGGTCGATCTACGGCCAGAAATTCCGAGATGAGAAGTTCTGCTATAAGCTGCTGGCTTAGCGAGCGG